TTCTGGTACAATTGCTTTAACTTCTTAAGGACAAAACATCTGGAATAAAAGGGAATCATGACATGTCACACATGTCATGTGTCCTTAAGGGGTTAAGGACTGCGATTGACGATATGGCATGTAATGTGTTTTTGTGGCCTATCATCTCCATGAAGGTGTCCCATAGAGATATTGTGAGGTGTGTAGTTGGGAATAGGTCGGTGCGTCTGGTTCTGAACCTCTTGGGTGTCCAGAGGCAATCAATTAAGGGCATTTATTTAAATTGTGCTCTTTCCATGTCAACCCAATGGAGCGCGCCAGGCTGGGCATGGAGGAGTATGCCGTTTGACAGTATCGCTGCTCTGTGGTATTGTTTAATGTTCGGAAGTTCCACTCCCCCCATTCATGGTGTGGTTTGGAGGAGTGTCAAGGACACCCTGGGTCTTTTACCACCCCAGATAAAAGTACCACATAGTTTTTGTCGTGCCTTGCAGTAGTGGGGTGTCATCCCAAGGGGTATCATTCTAAAAATGTAGAGGATACGGGGTAGAATCATCATTTTGTACGTGTTGACTTTCCCTAACCAGGAGATTTTTGTGTGTTTCCATTTGTTCAATTCTGACTTGCATAGTGTTAAAGGGGGTTATAGTTTAATTGTGAAGTGGTAGATATTGAGGGTGCTATCTTCACCCCTAAGTATGTTATTAAGTTTGATTTCCAGTCAAACGGGTATGAGGTATGTAGTGTTTCTAGCAGGGGCTTTGGCAGGTTTAACGGTAGGGCTTGTGTCTTATCCTGATTCAAGCGATAGTATGAAATGTTACCGAATTGTTGTAGCATATTAAGTAAGGGATCAAGGGAGCGTTTAGGGTCCGACAGTGCTATAAAGATGTCGTCTGCAAATAAAGCTAGGCTATACATCTTGTCATGGATATTGACTCCTACTATCTCGGATTGTGATCAGATCTTTTGAGCCAGGGGTTATAGGGCGAGTATGTACAAAAGGGGTGACAGGGGACATCCCTGGTGGGTTCCATTTGTGATGGAGAATGGTGTAGATAGGAACCCTCCGTGAGACTTTTGCTTCTGGGTTATAAAGTGCCATGATGCTCGTTATGGTAGATGTGGGGAAGTTGAATTGTGATAAGACCCTGGTCATGTAAGCCCAATTTAAGCAATCAAAGGCCTTCTCCGCATCCAAAGCGAGGAGAAGGCCCCCTGATCTTTTGGACTCTAGTGTGGATATTATGTTTAGGATTTTCCTGGTGTTATCCGAGCCCTGGCGGCCTCGTATAAATCCGTATTGGTCATTGTGTATTATTTTATGTAGGAGGGGGGCAAGGCGGTTACTGATCAGTTTCGCATATAATTTAGTATCTCCATTTAATAAGGAGATGGGCCGAAAGTTTTTGCATTGTGTAGGAGGTTTGCCCGGCTTGGGGAGGATGGAGATGTGTGCTAAGAGCATTTCTTTTGGCAGTGTGCCCTCTGTGGCACATTTGTTTACTAATTGTAGGAGAAAGGGCGCTATTGTAGAGGAGAAAGTTTTATAGTATTCATTCCCTTAGATTGTCGGGCCCGGGTGATTTGTGTGCTGGGAGTTGTGAAATTGCTGTTGTGAGTTTGTCAAGGGTAAAGGGTTGTTTCAGGGGTACTAGGTCTTCCTCCTATAGTTTGGGTCATTTTTAAGGTTACATAATTCGCTATAGTATAATGCAAATTGGTCTACAATGTTTTGAGGGTGTGTTATTTTCTTGCCCTTAGAATCGTTTAGGAAGGCAATCCTGGAGGCGACATTCCTTCGTTTAAGTTACGATGCTAGGATAGCGCCCGCTTTGTTACCACTTGTGAAGAAGTTATGCTTAATTTTTCGGAGTAAGTATGTTATTTTGGCCAGTTCAATGTTTTTTAATTTGTTTTGGAGGCCTAAAGGTTTGTTTTCATAGTAGATTTTGGTTCTTTTTTATTAGAATGTGTTAGGGTTTGGATGTCTCCAAAAATTTTGTGTATTCTGCAGTTCTCTGTTTCTTGGCATAACTGGCATGTTTTATAAAGCTGCCCCTTATTACCGCTTTGTGCGCTAGCCAAATTTGTTCGATTGTGGAGTCAGCGGTTGTGTTTTCAGCAATATAGTTTTGTAGATCTTTTGTTGTTTGGGAAACTATAGAGGGTTCTGTAATTAGAGATTTGTTAAGTCTCCATGTGCCCGACCCTTTTTTAGCAAATGATTCTTTAAAGCTGAGTGTGATGGGAGTGTGATCGGACCACTTCATTATCCCAATTGTGGCTTCTTCTATCTGGTACATTGATGTAGCAGGAATGAGGAATCTGTCTATTCACGAGTAGCTGTTATGAGCCACCGTATGACATGTATGGTCTATTTCTGTTGGGTGGAGAATGCGCCATGGGTCTACCATGTGGTAAACAGCGAGAGTAGAGCATATTTTTGTTGTAAGTGCTGTTCTGTGTTTGAGCGTGCAACTGGAAATCTGTGCAGTGCTAGACGAGTCAATTCTACTGTCTAGTAAAAAATTGGTGTCGCCTCCAATGATTACCTCCCCGTGTTTGTACATATCTGTTAATGCTAGAATCATTTGCAAGAACTCATTTTGATTTTAATTTGGACTGTATACATTGACCAAGGTATATGGTGGATTGTTTAACATACATTGCAAAATTAAATATCGATCCTTTTTATCACTTATTTTCCGCACCAGTGAGAATGCTATATCTTTACTTGTCAGAGTGGATACTCCCCCTTTTTTTAAGTAACATGTGTGGAAGTCGTGTGGGTACCATTTCGAGGAGAATTTGGGTCTGGAGTTCCATGTGAAATGCGTCTCCTGAAAGAATGCCACTTGAGCCCCACATTTCTTTGTCTCCTGTATGGCCAGTCGTTTGTTAGGGGAGTTAAGCCCCTTGGCATTTAGTGATATAATTTTAATTACCATTGGGTTAGTGTGTATTGTGCTGTGCTAAATATTTGCATTTTGGTATTTGTACTATCGCATTTGGTCTGCTCGGTGCCGGCGGGCTGTGTGGTCACCGGTGTCCCAAGCTCTCGGTAAACTAGCATAGTAGGTGCATTCTGTTGAGTTGACACACTCAGTGGGGGGTAGGGTAAAAGAATGGGGGAAAAACTATATACAATGTTCCGTAAGTCACTTCTTAGTGACATGTGGTGCCTTGGGCAACGGAGAAGTAGGTCTACTGCAGCCTTGGGGGTATACTTCTCAGGGTTAGAGTACTGAGATCCTGACAAGTAAGGGATCAACAATAGTCTGAGTCTGAGCGTAGTGCATCCGGGTGGAATCCACCCGCCGCGGCTAAGGCTTTTGGCCTTCTAGTAAACCTTCTCAATGTGTCCTAAGGTAAATAACATTTGTACATATAAACCAAGAATAGCAAATTGGTGTAAACCTGTCGATAAGTCCATTTGGGTATTGGTGATGTGGCGTTGTTCTGCAGGCCTCTCAGGTTGGTGATGTCTCTGGATTGGCCGTTGCGTGAGATGCTTGGGGCACTTGTGACCATTCTTTTGGGGGCGTCTTTGGTGCCTGGGTTGTTGCTTGTTTCTTCCGGGGCTGCTGGTTGGGAGCGGTATGTTCCACTCTTGCAGCATTCTTTTGCCATCTTCTGGGTTCATAATGGGTTTGTCAATGCCGTTCCTTTTAATCAGTAGTTTTGAGGGAAACCCCATTTGTAGGGGATATTTGCATTTCTCAGCGCTTCTGTTATCGGTGCAAAAGTACAGCGTTTGATCATGGTTGCTGAGGAGAGGTCTGTGAATAGCTTGATGCTGCTGTATGTTTCCGGCCATTTGCTTGTGGTTCTGGCAGTTTGCATAATTCTGTCTTTGACAGTAAAATGGTGAACTCTAGTGATGGTGTCTCTTGCGGAGTCAGGGGGAAGGTGTTTAGGCTTGGAGAGCCGGTGCGTTCTGTACAGAATTAAGTCAAATTCAGACAGGGAGGGGATTAAGGCCTTGAACAGGTCTTTGACATACCTGGGTAGGTCTTGTTGCATAATAGTTTCTGGTATGCCCCTTATGCGGATGTTGTTTCTACTACTCCGGTCTTCTTGATCGTCCACCTTTTCTTCCAGTGCTTTAATTTTGTTTTCTAGAGATGAGTAAGCATCTGCCATGGAGTTGTGTGCCTCCACTAACTCCTCTGTCCTGTCTTCCAGATGAGTAGTGTGTTCCCCCATGCTGTGGATGTCTGCTTTAATATCTGCAGTCATTTTCATGAGGTCTGCTTTAAAAGAGGCTTGCAGCTCCTGCATTATTAGTCTGATGGAGGAGTTTGTTGCTGGGCTGTTCTGTTCCTGCTGGCTGTCTCCTGCCTCAGAGCTATGGGTAGGTGAGTGCTGTCCATCGGCGCCATTTAAATTTTTCGGCTCCGCGGTTTGTTGCCTCTCTAAGTGAGAGTATAGAGTTTTTTGTTTTAATTTTTTAGTAGCCATGCGAGTTTTCTGCGATGTTTGCAGGTTTTGTCATGCTGTTAAAGCCGTTTTAGTGCCGTGGTCCGGGAGAGCTGCGGTTCTGCATGTCTGCTCAGATGTGCGGCTAGGACATGCCCCCTCAACACTTGTCCTCTTTTAAAGGATTCAAAGAGGAACATGAAAAAACATGAATACAACATATTGAATACATCTCCTAAAACAATTACTCATTGTGTTGTCGCTATCATTTTACAGTGGGATCTAGAAAGAATTAAAAAGTAAGCTATTATTGATTCTGGTGCTGCTGAAACATTTACTGACTCAACTCTAGTTTCAAGAAATAAAATTCTGGGGCATGGCTGGGACCTGAATGGAGTAGGATGTGCAGCTCTCTAGCTCCAACTCCCTCGGGCGCTTGCAGCTTGTTCTGCAGTAAATTTGACCTGCAAGCCCCTTCGGATGACACACTCACACCCAGCAAAAAAGGTGAAGTCCTCAGCATCGCTGTTTGTGTAAGCAAACTACGAGTGCAGGCCCAAGATGGCACCAACCGCGTTGCCTCTCCGGCTTCCTATCAGTCGAGAGTGATGACACCTGCATCTCCACAGCAGAACCAACTAATGAATTTGCTTCTTACTACACAAAACTCTATGAATTGAGGGAAGACAAGTCCACCCATATCACAGAAATTGTCACTTTTCTAAACTTGATCCGACTGCCACAAATATCCATGACAGACTATGACTCTTTAACCAGAGCGTTTGACAACGAGAAGATCATATTAGCCCTGTCCGCTCTGCCGCCACACAAATTACCTGGTCCAGACGGACTCACAAACTGGTACTATCAGACATTCAAACAGATCTTAGCACCACACATATATTACAATAATATTATATATACACTAAAACTACTGAACATATTAAACAATTAATATAGATTATTTTCCATCTTATTTTTACTTACAGGGTTATTTAGTAAAGTGAGATTTCAAAGTGAATTTCAAATTTAAATAAAAATAACTAAACATGAAAAAATCAGAAAGTAATTTTTGCTTTCAGTTTGGCTACTCTGTCTTTAATTTTAAATTCTCAGTTTTATAAATAGTCCTATTATTGTACATTCAAAATTATCCTTCCAAGAATGTGTGTACCTCTCTATTTACTGTAAATTATTCTATTAAGAGTACAGAGGAAAAATATAGTTTTCAGAAATTAAAGATAGAAAATGTAAGGTTAATCGTCTAATTGATTGCTTTATGTAGGCATATTTTCAAGCAATGTTTAGTACATAAAACGTTCATTGCTTTGACGTATTTATGCATTACAATGCATTGGTTGTAAAATTCTTAACACCTAGATTAGAATTAAAATTTAAGAATGACAAATAGAATAATTTCTTTCTATTGCTACAATGTAGCAGATTTATAAAGTGCACTAAAGAATATACCGGGGGTAAACATATTTTTCTTTCTAATGTCTAGAGTTCCCATTATAACATCTAACCTGTAGTTACTGAAAACACAATCTTTCTGTTTTTTGTAAGCGTTATACAGGCCACGTTAAGATAAAATTTAAATTGGTCTTTGTAACCCACAGCGTAATTCACAAGGGGGATGTTGCACTGATAAAAATATATCCAGTGCTAGAATATTAAGTGATAATTAAAACTGGGATATGGGATGAATAAAAGCACCCTGCCAATGTAATTTCCAACCTACCCATTACATTTCTAAAAGCAAAGAAACACCTATTGGTAGGTTACAATGGCGTTCAGATTAAACAATTAAGTCAAAGGTATTGTTAAAAAGGGAGACTAAGATGTATTAGTGTCCTTTGTAACTTAACAATGCAACACATTTATTTCTCCCTTTTATTAACTTTTTTCCTTTATCATATGGTCTTTAATGACAATATTGTAGCTAAATACCTGCAATTTAATATGAACTCGTTTTGATCCTCTTAAGCCACCATACCTCCACTTTCAATCCACTGCCGAGATCTGACCAATCAGACGATAGGGCGGGATATATAAATCATCCAATGCAGGGAGTTAATTTCCCCCTGACGAGCCTCTAAACAAGGCGAAACGCGCGTCGGGTCTATTCCGACATCATTTTTTCGCCAATTCCCTACAATCAACACGGGGATTGATTGCAATTAGTGATCTAGACCTGCTTTCCCCTCAACTACTCACCAATGAGTATCGGTATCCACTTTTTCTTAGAGCTCACCCGTGCTGACTTTTAGCCGAGTAGGAGCATAGACAAGAATTAGATTTGAGTAGTTGGTTAAACGGGAATTCTCATAGTGACCATACTATATCGGCAAAGCTACCAAACATACCAATTTGGGTATTGTTAAAATCAAACTATGTCTCAGTAGATATGATAATCTTCACTACTTACTAAGCTGTTATCTTTAAACTATCAGGTCTGTCTAGTTTCAGACACCCATCAGTATCGCGCTATAGTAAGAGAGGCAGTCTATTTCGGAATGTCTTTTGTATTAGATTAATAAAGTATCTTCTAGATTTTTATCAAAGGGACAGAATCTCTCTCCTTCTCTTTATTTGCATTGGAAACTTTATTGTTAAACTGTTACTTATTAAAGAATGTACTGCTTTGTTCAAGTCCTACAGCAGGGAACAAGCAGTTATTTTCTATTTAATTACTCCACAGCAAGTTTGAAAAAGTCATTATTCAACAAGGATTGAAACAACATGTATGTCTTTCTATGTGGAGTAGGGCTTCCAAAGCCCATATTCAACCACAAGCTAAACACTCTTCTGATAGTAAGTTTTAAAGGGAGTAATATGTCATAATAAGAAGAAAGCTCTGTAAAAAAAGATTAATTATAATAACTTAATCATTACAGTTTGCTACAGTAGCATGGTGCCAGACGTCCTCTGATTTGGTCCTATATTAATTAGTCAAACATCAAACAATCCCACCCCTATGAATTGGAAGACCTGCCCTTAGCATCACAGTATACTTTATCTGGCTATGCTCATGCATGTACCTGTTTCCACACATTTCTCTATAAGGTTAAACAAATTTCATTATGAATTAGTCAGTTATCATCAAAGTAAGTTGTAGGACAAACTGACTGGAGACTAAAGCAGATCTGTCAATTTATTTTTTAATAGTCATGTCCCTAGTACCCTTCTTGTAAGTCCATTTTTTCATTTCTTTATTTTTCCATTGTCCCTTTTTTTCAAAAGTTATAGATAAGGAAAGCAAGAACTACTTTTCCTTATGTAAAAACAGAAGGATGACATGAGTTGACAAAGGGTGATGTTTTAATCAATCTCTATGCATTTTGTCAACTTTGTTATTGGCACTGTATGTGTTAGATCACCTCTTACCAGCTGCATGTCACATCCTAAAGCAGCACTAAATGAGACCCAGACAGACTGGATAACCATCAAATAAGGTTATTTAAACTGATCCTAGGGTCGCATCTTGAAGGGAGTCAGGGGGATAGAGAAAGAGATCCATTGGCTGGGAGCCAAGGGATCCATAATGTGACAGAGCCACTTTAATCATAAATAATTAAGCAGATAAAAGGACAGTTTTACCTAGCCAGTATCTAGGTCAAAACCTGGACCTGAGATTCTAAACCAGGTCTTCTACCTGCAAAGAAACATGCAAGAGTAAGTTTATGAGCTCCCTCACAGTGAAATAAACAACTTAAAGGAGCACCATAGTGCCAGGAAAATAAACTCATTTTCCTCGCACCATAGGGTTATGAGGTCACCACACCCTCTCCCCCCTCTCAGGGCCCCCCTCCTGCTGGTCTGAGTGCCTATAATGGTCCTTTAATTGGTATTGAGGTCATATTTAATTACTTTATTCCATATGAAACATATTGGAAATGGGGATTGTGACGGACCCCTCTGGCACCCCGACCAGGTGCCTCCATCAATTGCTGCTTCCTAGTACTTACGAGCACCACCGTAAACCCCACGAACTGCCGCAGCTTGGTTGGGGTCTCGCTGTCTTCCACCCACCATTAACCTAAGACCAGATCCAGCTTCCAGTAGGTAGACCTCTACTAGTCCAGAGAGCATAGCACAAACAGCTCTTATAAGAGCTAGTGATTATACTCAGGGGAGTATTGTGATAAAGCAATCCCCAGAGTGAATGTAGTTCTCCAAACCCCCAAACATGAGCCAAGACTTCATGAAGGGGTAAATGAATGTCAGTTTAATGTTAGCCACAACTGGCCTTTTATGACAGTCCCCATTCAAGGGGCACTCCCCCTGGACCTGAGAGTAAACCACAGTAGAAATAAATATACAATCGCATTGACTCTAAGGTCCAGGACACTCCCATGCAAAATCAAATAATCCCTCTTCTGTGCCTGGGAGATAATTGGATCAGGAACTGTACTAATCTAATCCAATTATCTCCAAGCACAGAAAAAACATACATTTTTACAAACCCCCCAAAATACCTAAATACCTTAAACCTAATGCCTACTCTTGTGAGATTAACCTGCTTACTAGAGAAATCCATTCTTGTGCTCTCTGCTGAAAAGAGGGACCTGTGGGCAGGCACGGGAGCAAAACCAAGGCAGCTGACCTGGACTTCCATATTTAATTACAAATGGATCCATGAGGGCTGCACACATTAGAAGAGTGCTTATTTTTAGTTTTCACACTTCATACACATTTGTTAATTGCAGGTGTTGATTAACATAGTAAAAATCTTGGGAAATGACAGTTTCCCTTTCAGTATTACCACAATAATTAGACATTAATTTCCCCATGAGAGTTAACAGTACATATATATATATATCACCAATGTACCAGATGACTCAAAAATCCAAAGGCTTAACCTTGGAATGAAGATACATGTTAAGATGAGCATAAAAACTCAGTTGATGCAGCCAGACCTTTTTTTTGCACATTGAATCCAAAACAAGACATTCTAATGATGAAATCATGGTAACCCTAGCACTTGTCTGAGACAAAAACATCGTGGAATATTTCCCATTGGAGGAAATTATAAAACGAAGTAAATTTTGAGCATGGAATGTCAATTGACGTCTTTAAAAGGTGATATTATTGTAATTGTTTTTTTATTTGAAATTGTATTGAAGATATTTAACCTTAAAGGATGGGTTTAGAAAGAAAATAAGATGGAAATAGTTCTTTAGCTTGTGCTTTGTATATACCAAAATTACATTACACATATATTTCAAAGTATCCAATATACATGACAAATATACAGTGAGACCTCGGTATACAAACGCCTCGGTTAATATAATTTTCGGTTTACAAATGAAAATCCATTGAAAATAATGCCTCGGTTTACACTTTTTTTTCGCAATACAAAGCAAGTTTCTCTAGGGTGCTTTGCATCTGGGAGGTTTATAGCACCGCCCCCTGCATGCTGGAGCCTGTGGGTAGCACGTGGTGTCGAGAGTGAAGCTGTTGGAGTGGCTTTTGCATCGAGTTCTAGAGCCATTCTGGAAATTGTTTGCAGTTGTTTTGGGACTTTTGATGCATTTCTCAAGCTGTGGAAAGGAAGGTAGCTGAACTTTGTCATTTGCATGCCTTTTATTGTGTGTTCTGCATTGTGGGTTGGTTTCCATGCCAGCTCAGTTTGACTTTTTTCTGACCTCCAGAACGGAATAATTGGTTTTCAATGCATTCCTGTGGGAAACCGCGTCTTGGTTTACAAATTTTTCACAATAAGAAATGTCTTGGAGACCGCATTAAATTTGTAAACCGAGGTCCCACTGTATGTGTAAAGCTATAAATCAATAGATCAAAAAAATTGCCATTACCATTAATGTATAAGTGGCATAAATAATAGATCTATAGCAGGGGTG